ACCTAACAACAACAACTATATGAGGTGTTGTTTTTCCTCTACTAGAACCACAATTCATATGGCTAAATGGTGACACTCAGATATTGATAATAGATCCAGAGCATTGGCATTGATCTGTTTATCTGGTGCCTGTTACTGCTAATTTTAGACTTGTTCTATTCTGCTGATTTTATGTGACCAAGCTTTTAAGCCATGATTTAGAACTCTTATTTTTTAAGTAAAAATAAGAGTGATGTATTGATTACATATAATTTCAGCTATATTAATATTATATATTGTACACTTTCTTATTGTTAAGTGTCCCCAAGTTGGTTCTGACTCATAGCAATCCTGTATAGAATTTCTGAGGAACAGCTGGTGAGCCTGAACCACCGACCTTGTGGTTCAAACCAACTAGGCAGTCCAGTGCATTAACCCTCAGTGACACACCGGGACTCTGTTGTTGTTAAGTGCCGCCAATTAGAAGTTGCTTTATATAGTTTTTTACTTTGACGTGTTTGGAGATACCAGCCATTAAAGATGTCCAGTCATAAATTAATAACCTCTTGGCAATGATCATTTATTCAATAACACCTACAACATAATAATGTGCCCAACATTGTACCAGCCTCAGGGCTTATAAATATAAAGGATTTATTCTTTATTCTTAAGAAGCTCATGGTCTTGTGGTGGGTCTGCAGATGGGATTCAGTTCAATGCTTGGAAGGTTGCTTGGAGGATGTTTTGAGATTCTTTCTAACCCATTTCTCTGCAGACATTGGTACTCCTCCTAACTACTTAGTATTCAAGGAATTTACAGAGATTGATGGAATTGGGACATAGGTAGATCATGATCATTTCTAATACTTCATATTCCATTCCATTATATTTTTCTTATTCTTTAGTGTACCTCTGTTCTTCATTCTTTCTTCATTTTAAACAGTCTTATTTACAGAAACACTTTTTCATTGTTTTGTAGAATATGTTCTCCATGTTTAGTTTTGTCTCCTCATACTAATATTTACCAGGTTGCTTCATTCGAATGATAGATTCTTGATTACAAGCAGTAGTGTGTTGGTCGACTTGCTCTCTATGTAAAAAGCATTATAAATACTCCCCCCCCCCCCCCCCCGGGACCCTTAGAATTTCTGAACATTTAGAAACCAAGTTTCAGAGCCTGGACAAGCCAGCTCTAGGACATCAATGAGTCAGCCCTTTCTCATAGTATCTAATTGTGGATGTTGACTATAATTTTCCTAAATTTAGCATTTCTTCTGCTTCTTTGAAAAATAAATGCAAAAACATAAATGCAAGCGAAACACCCCATTTACTCCTCCTACTCACTCATTTGAGGAGCTCTCGTAGCGTAGTGGTTACAAGTCGGGCTGCTTATCTCAAGGTCAGCAGTTCGAAACTACCAGCTGCTCTGCAGGAGACAAATGAGGCTTTCTGTTCCCGTATAGATTGACAGCCTCGGAAACCCAATATAGGGTCACTATGAATCAGAACTGACTCCACAGCACATAACTACCATCACTACCACTCATTCACTTAGGTTTTCATTCAACAAATATTTATTGAGTACAACTCCTTCTGCCCCACCTCCATCTACAACGTAACAGTTAAGTGTTTGTTTGTTTGTTTGTTTTGTAGTCACTTAACAGTACCTTTATGTTTCAGTTGACTGTTTTTCCGCAAGTCACATTTAGAATGATGGAATTGCCAGCATGGATAGAGTTTAGATGGTCAAGCATGAGTTTGGGTTAAATTTATATTTGGATGTCTCTAAACAGTGTTGGCTATAACATTTGTCTTCTTTGTGGGGGTTAGAGGCAGATGATTTATTCTTCAGTAGAGATGAATGATTAGAAACGTTGGGTGTTTGGGTGTTACCTTATCTCCAGAATGAAGAGCATCCTTGTGTTTACGTCTTTAACAGAATAATGCAATACATGGTAAAACTATCATGGCAGATAAGGATAAAGCTGTACTTCTCCCAGGCAGCAAGGAGTGTACAAACTTTTCCCCTCAGTGGAATTGTATGGGATTTCAGTGTTCCTTTGTGAGGTAGGTAGAAAAATGTAACATGTTGGCTTATTGCGCTCAATAAATATGTGGCTCAATAAATACGAATGAATGAATGAGTAAACTCAGTGTTAAAGTAAGCAGCTGGGAGCTTTAACTGCAATTAAAATGGAGTGTGTTGAAAACTTTTTGAAATAGCTATTCCAGCACATTGGTACAGTAATTTAAATTTGGAATACTTTCTGTAGCTTCTTTTGAAGCATCTGGATTAAAGTAAAACTATGTGTAACAGCATTTGACAAAGGAAGAAGAAACTACTTTGAGTAGTACTTCTTTTAACTTTATTCAATTAATACTCTTTGGAGAAGAGAACAGGAGGAAATGATCTTAAATGGCCAGAAGGGATTTTGGGTAATGGAAAAAAAAAAAAAAAAGAAGCCTTTATTGCTTGTGAAGATTGAGGTATTAGCTACTTGGTTAACAAAAGTGGTCATAGAAAATTAAATAAAGAAGAAGCTGAACTACCCCTTTATTTAACTTAAAAATTACCTATAAACATTTATTATTTTGTGCCAGACACTGGAGTAGGTACTGGGGAGACAGTGGTTAGTAGAAAATGTATAGATCCTACATTCTTTGATCTTATTATAGAGGAAGAAGCATAGAATCAAATAAGCACGTTGGGGTATAATTTCAACCTGTAAAAAGTTCAATGAAAAAGAAGTTTGGGGCTCTCATCTAGCCAGTGTAGGGTGAGCGATTTTCATCTGAGATAAGTGATCTTTGAGCTGCAGTCTGAAGGATGAGTAGGAGCAAGACAGGCAAAGGTGAGTAGGAAGAACGTCCCAGGCAAAGGTTCTGACCTGAGACCAGAGCTCCTGTCTGAGATCCTGCCATTGTGATTGAAAGGGCCTTTGTGATTGGACAAAGAGAGGGGAGAGGCAGGCAGAGCCAGTTTCACAGGGTCTTAGAACCCTATCGAAGATTTGGTTTACTTTGAGAGCAACGAGAAGTTAAAGAAGGGTTTCAGTTGAGGAATAACTGGACAGCAGTTCACAAATTTCATTGCTGAATGTGTCCACAGCACAGAAAAGATTCTGAGCTCTTGCCCCAAAGAGTCAAGGGCCTGCAAAGGAGTGTGTGCTTGTATTTAGAACACAGCATTTTATTTTAGATGTCCAGCTATTCGGATCTCCAGTTTTGTCCATTAAAATTTTGTTTCTGAATATGGTTTATGTCTTTACAAGGTATTTTAAAGGGGCTATTTAGTTTTTACAGACCCATAAATTTAGATAAAGTTTTACAAGAGAACGCTTGAAATCGGACTGCAAGGTCGGTGGTTCAAGCTCACCAGCTGCTCCTCAGAAAACCCTATTCGCTATGGGTCGGAATTGACTCAACAGCACTTAACAACAACAACAATACACATAGGTTAACTTTGAAGTTTTAGGGTTTAGAAAATATTTCTGTTCTTTGCCTGTGCCAACTGATTATTTTTTTATTTGTCTTTCAGGATTCTGCAACTCAGTGATGCTGAATCTCATTTCAATTTATAGTTTAAAAGCCATAGGTTCAGGTTACATTGGTATGATTAGGGATAGAAAACTTACATTTATATTAATTATATGTTGAAGCCCTTAAAGTTTGATTTCTTTCTGCAGAACATTGTCTGGCACCCCCCACTCTCCTTACCCTTGGGTTACCTATGGTGCATTTGGGTTTGTCATGGCAGGTGCCTGACAGTTCTGTTCCTTTGGGTCAGCAGTGGAGGTAGGGCAGAGAAACTGGGGGCCTGAGGTCAAGTTTCTTGCTTTGAACACCTTGGAACACTGCTAGTGTTAAAGCTCCGGTGCCAGTTCTTGCTTAACTGACCTGAACTTGATACTTTAGTTTTATGTTGCTTAAAGCAGGTCTGCTAAGTTGCTCTAAAAACTTAAATAAAGTATGAAGCACTCAATTTTCGGGGTAGTAGATTCCCACTTCATTTTGATAGAGCACTTTGTGATGCGTTAGAAGCTTTCATGGACTCCAGTGATGCTGAGGAGAGATTGGAAACATGAGTACATTTTCCTGTTGGGTGTGTGTTAATCTGTGAAAACGACTGCTAGGTTTTATTGACCTGTACACATCCGTCCCACTTACTCATTCATACTTACATTCATTATATTCCTGACAAGTGTTTGTGCATTTATCAGAATGCTTCTTATGACAATGAATGTTTTACTTAATGAAACAGTGTAATTCACTGTTAATAAGAGTCCTTAATTTATGGAGGACTTTCTATGTGACAGACACTATACTAAGGACTTCACATATTATTTCACATATTATTTTATGTCATCTGGCCACAACCCTATGAATGGTGGTGGTGGTGGTTGTTACATGCCATCGGGTCAGTTCCACTTCATAGCAACCTTATGCACCACAGAAGGAAACACTGTCTGCTTCCGTACCAGCCTCACTGTTGTGGTTACGCTTCTGCCTATTGTTGCTGCCATGGTGTCAGGTCATCTCATTGGGGGTTTTCCTTTTTTTTGCCGACCCTCTACTTTACCAAGCATAATGTCCTTCTCCGGGGATGGGTCCCTGCTGGTAACATGTCTGAAGTATGAGAAAGTTTCACTATGCTGGCTTCTATGAATGGTAGTTATTCCCATTCATTTTATTTTATAGCTGAGGATACCAAGAAGAATAACTTGCTCAAGATCTTAGCTAGTACATGGCAGAATTGGGATTTGAACCAAGGCAATCAGACTCCGAGTTCAGGCTCTTAAATCTACATTCTTATTAAGTCTCCCTGTTGGATTAAAACCATCTCAGACGTGCTTTAGTTAAGCTTCACGCGTCAACTAGCAGTATCTGCAATATTTCATAAGTTTACCATACTGACAGTCATGAAGCCAAACAAACATACCTCCAGCTTACTAACTTTGATGTTTTGCTATTTAAATATTTCAAATGCAAGTTTTTAATATTGAGTTTATTTATGTTTATAGGGATGCTTCCTTTGGATATTGTACTTACAATCTTACCATCCTCGACTGTTTGCAGGGAATCAGAAAGGTAATAACAATTTTCTTTGCTAAAGTTGACAACACCACCACTCATCCACCGCCATTTTGACTCATAGCCTCCTTGCTTGTTCTTAGAAGAGAGGAAAGTCCATATGCAAAAGCTCTTCACTTCTTGCAAAATGATATGTAAAATGTAGACAAATAAGCGGTACTTCTGTGATCCGTGTGGAAGACCTTTCTCATTTAAATTCTCTGACTTCTGGGGCAGATTTATCACCTCTGTCTCCTGCTGTAGCTGTTGGCTTTGCCACCCTTTTATTTCATTATCAAGCTGGGTCTTAGATGTGGGTGGAGAAAGGAAATTATCTAAACTACTTCTTTCCTCTATTAATATGGAGCAGAGCATTTCCACATGGGTTTTCTAATTTGGACATTATTATAGGACCATGAAGTTGTAGTAGCTAGGTCAGATATTAGCCCCTTTTTGCAGATGAGGAAACAGAAACCCAGAGAGATTAAGTCATTCTCTCAGGTTGACAGGGAATTATTAAGAGAGCTAATTCTAACTCAGATTTCCCAATTCACTTCAGAGTTCTTTCTGATATGTCAGGGTATAGCACAATCCAGTGGTTCACCAAGTGTACAAACTTGTTGGAAATGCAAATTCTCTGGCTCTAATCCAGTGCTACTGAACAGAAACTCAGAATAATTCCTCCAGATGATTTGATGCACATAATAGTTTAAGAACCAGGTCATAGTTATTTATAGATAAAATAAAGAAGTTTATCCCAAAGATCCCTGAGAATATTTGGATTCTGTTTTAGAAATAGTAGTTTACAACCTGAAAACTCATGCAAAGGAGACTGTAAATTGTGATGAGAATTCAAAGTACATAATTCCATTTTGAACATAAAGCCATGGTTTGTTACCAGTCTGCAGTGTACATATATGTTACATAACACATTGGCAGAGATCACTGTGGATTATGTGTCTAATATCAGTGATTCTAGCCTGTTTTTTCCTCCTCTGTAATGTATATTTTGCTATGTTTTTGAGGCGAGAGAATTGGTATAATAAATATGCTACCTGCTTTAGGTCTGTGTGGTTCTGATTTTGATAGTTCATTTAAAAATGAGTCTACATTCCATGAAATCATAGTTTCAAATACTTTCCCTTTTGCATAAATTATAAAGGTACTCTACCCTGTCCCCTGAAAACACTGTTACTGGCATGCACACTAAGTCACACCAGTTAAGAACCTTTATAGAGATATTATCCAATAGTTACAGAATTTCAAAATATGCCTGAGGAGGAAAATGTACATATAATTTATTTATTGTCACTGTTATCATTTTACCTTCCCCTACCTTGGATATAGGCTATGTCTTTTATAACACAATATGAAATTCAGGAAGAGTTCATACTGGAATATCGCTGCCTGTTACTATGGTAACTGGTAATTTGATCCTAAAATGTATGACATCCTTCCTGTTGTAAAGGAAAGATGTGACTTTGTTCATAAGGGCTTCTGTAAATTTAATGTTTTGCCAAATGTTGGGGCTATTTAACCCTATCACAGATGAAATTTTAGGTGACCTGATATTAGAGACTTCAACATGTTTTTTAAGTCACTGAGATGAATTTGTTCTCTTAGACGTTCTGGATTATTTTTGTAGCAAAGAATAACCTCCCAAGAACATAATATGGGAATGGTCATATCTTTACCTTTTTCCATAACATATCTTTCTAATTTTGTTGTGTTAACGTGATCATAAGCATAGTTCATCTTCTATGGAAACAAAACATGCACTAAGACAAAAGAAGAAAAATGGACAGTTCAAATAGTATTTTTTTCTCACTATTTTCTTTGGAATTGTGCATATGGAGAGCTAAGTTGCTTAGTTTAAAGGTGAAATAATTAAATAAAAACTTTTTCTTATTATTCTTTATGGTTTATCTAAACCAGTATTGTCAGAATTTAGCGCATAAAATTTAACAAGGAAAGAAGCAAATACTGTTGAATGATGATGCACGGTGGAGATTGTAATCATTGCAATGAAATGATGGTGTAAAACCGATATTGTTCCATGTAAACTATCACTCAATTCAGAATAAAAACTAAAAAAATAATCAAGGAAGGCTTGTGAAAAACGGGAATCCTGGTTCCCATCCTTAGAGATTCTAATTTAATAATTCTGGGATGGGGTTTAGGAATCTGTATTTTTAATGGTCACTGTAAATCCTTCTGATGCAGGTGATTCATATTCCATATTTTGAAAAAACACTGGTCTCTAATGTGTTTTCAAAATGAAATCTTCTGGATCTTGGATTAATAATAGTTTCTTCCTGTATTTTTAATGACTATCATATAATTTTTAAAAAAGTACTTGTGATTTTGTGGCCTTTTATAATCTGTATAGCTTTCACAGTTCATGAAAAAGACTCTTTGTCCTCCTCCTCAATATATTAAGATCCAAGCAAGTTGGGTAATTCGTAAAGTTCTAGTCATTAAGTTACAGAAAGGAGTATGAAGTTTTTCTTAAAGTTGTTAAAATACCAGCTCTTCCTTTTCAATTGTAACAGCAGCCAAGCACACTTTTACTTTGTCAGAAACTATCATCATGAAACAAATTTTCTCAAAGTAGAGTTTCAGGAAACAATACCCAAACCCCAAACTCACTTTATGAAGTCTATTCTAACGCAGTGAATTTCCTCATAGTTCCTAAATCCGATGGAAGCAGATTGTCATATCTTTCTCTTGTGGAATGACAGGTAGATTTTATTTTTTAACTTTTTATTGTGACTTGCATTACGATTTACAGATAAGATCAGTCTTACAGTCAACAAATCATACACTTTATTTCATCTCAATGATTGCAATCCCCTAATGCACCAGCAGTGATCCACTTCCTCCCTGTGGTTCATATTCTCATTCCACCCATCTTCCCATCCCTTTGTAACTTTGTCCTTAGGTAAATGTTGCCCTTTATATTTTGAATATATTCATAGTGAGCATACCTTACTAGTGTTGTTGTCCCATTATATACTTACCTACTGCTTGGCTGAAAGTTGTGCCCTAAGCGTGAGTTCCTTTCCAGACCTGAAGGGTGGTAGAGGGCCATCGTTTCAGGTTCCTCCAGTCTCTTTCTGACCAGTAAGCCTGGTATTTTTTTTTTAAATGATTTTGAGTTTTGCCCCACATATCCTGCCACTCTAGTCATCACCATCTAACGTGATCCCTTTTGGAACAGTTGGTAGTGGTAGCCTGGCACCATCTAGTTCTTCTGGTCTCAGAATTGTGGAGACAGATGTTTACACGTTCCATTAGTCCATTGGACTCATTGATTGCATTTTCACTTCTCATCACTCTTCTTTCTTCTACATATGGAGAGACTAAGGCTGCAACTTAGATGGCCACTTATGTTTTTTTTAAGATCCCAGATGCTACTCACCAAAGTAGGATGTAGAACACTGTCTTTGTGGTCTATGTTATGCCAATTGACCCTGAGACTATGGTCCTGAACCCCCAGGTCCAGCAGTTCATTGTCTTAAGATGTTTGATAATATCTAAGACGTTTTCATCATTTTGCCAGATATATGCTCCCACAGTCATAGTTGTGTTTGCAGGAAAGGTAAATACCCATGTACCAGTGTCTTCTTTCAAACTTTTAAATATTTGTGAGATACATAAATTATGTTTATATTCCACTCTTCCTTCCATACCTTTTCAGCCTGTGTCTCTGTCCATGTATCTACCCACAGAACATTTTGGTTCCAAGGTTATGTATATATATATATATATATATATATATATATTACTATTTACCTTTATTACCTTTAGCCCTTGCATACCTCCCTGTGTACTCATTTTACTTAATCATTCTTCTGCCAACCTCCATCTTCTTGTATATTGCCCTCCCCAGGGCTGCGAACCTTAAGGTCAGCGGTTCGAAACTACCAGCTGCTCCGCGGGAGAAAGATGAGGCTTTCTACTCCCGTAAAGATTTACACCCTCGGAAACCCTGTACAGGGTCGCTATGGGTCGGAACCGACTCGATGGCACATAACAACAACAACAATCACCCAGTTCACATGTGTCTACCCTCTATTGGCTGGTAGATTTGAACAGCTGACCTTTCAGTTTACAGCCGAGTGCTTTAACTATGGTGCAACCAGGGCTCAACAGGAAACAATAACGGTCTGTTACTTAAAAATTCCCTTTTTACTAAATGTCTCATGACTGGTAAAAGGAAATCAAAACCTACTAAGAATAATTTATTTTTCTTATAGCCTCTGTCTTAAGTTAGATATGAATTAATTTAATAGTTACTATTGTTGTTAAGTGCCATTGAGTTGGTTCTGACTCATAGTAACCCTGTATAGGGTTTCCAAAGAGAGGCTGGTGGGTTTGAAGTGCTAACCTTGTAGTTAGCAGTCCAGTGCTTATCTTACAGTGCAATATCAGGACTCCTTTATAGTCACTAACAGTTATTAATTATAAATTTCTAGAATGTTCTATTCATACATATTTCTTATTACATATAAAATGAATCTAAATCAGAACTTGCAAAACTATGGCACCAAACCATCCTTCCCACAGCACTTTTCTCCTCATCTGGGTTCGATAATTCATTGCAATGGCCACAGAGAACTCAGATACCATACTCAAAGTTATGGGACTTATTAGGAAAGTTAACAGATTACAAAGCAGAATCAGAAAAGGATCAAGGCACAGTCATTTCAGTCAGGATAGCCTCTCCTCAGCCATGTCTGTAAATAGGTCTCTCTGCCTGACCAATGGGACACAGCTAGGGCTGCTGATAAATATTCACAAAGTACACCACTTCACTATAAACCTCAGCCTGAAGGCACTAGGTTTTAGCTCTGGTTCAGCACACGTATCTCCACCAATTATATACCTGGAAGCACCCTACTCTGCAAGCAAGCTTCCAGCTATGAGTCATTCAGCTTTACTTGCTCAAAGGGCTAAGAAACCCACCTGTCCCGTCTTGTACTCTGGTTTTTATTTCTGCTGCTGCTACTTCTCTGCCGCTTGTCTGGTGTCACAGCCTTCTGTCCCTAGCCAAGGAGATTTAATGAACAAGAATCTCAGGGTCCAAAGGACATACCCTACTCCTGGCTTTCTTTGATGGTAGTGAGTTTCTGAGATGGTTCATTTTTGTACTAAGCAAGATGGTGAAATTGCCTAATCAGAATTAGCCCTGTTTACAATTCTCACAACTAAATCACATAATCCAAGAATCCCCCCCTTCCCTTCTCTTATTCAGACCCATCAGGAAAAAAAGTTGTTTGGTGGGCATTTCAAAGACTATGGTTGGAAGAGATATTATATAATTCACAGCATCACAGAACTGAACGCATATTTGTGGGGCATAATTTCGTGCTAATTCTGCTTTTAAAACAACCTCAAAGCAACAGTGCCAATGTTATAAGATGATTTCATACATGCATTTTTTTAAAAAAAGGTTTCAAACTTTCTCCCTCAAGTCAGGACCATTTTTGATGAGCCGAAGTTCTAGGACAGAGTAGTAGATGTTATCAGTTGAGTGTGGCAAAACTAACTCAAGTTCTGCTTTTTAGGGATTACAACATGGATTTTTTGACTTTGAGTCATTTGATGTGGATGAATATGAACATTATGAGGTTTGTATAAATTTTACTGTTTTACAAAATATAATTTCATGTTGGTTAATTTTTTTTCTCCCTCCTATTGTGAATTTAGCGGCTGCTAAACAAAGGCATTCTGGAGTTTTCAAGTTAGCTCTTTCAGCTTTGGTTAGTGCCAAGAACAAACTTTCTATTTTGATTTTAAAAAATGTTGTATCGATCGATCTATATATATTTGTGTAGTAAACCTTTTTTGCCAATGACTTTGCACTTTTGGTTTATAAGACAAAATAACTTGAAAGCATACTTTAGTAGTGAAATTTTGTAAGTCTGTTTTAAAATTCAGGTTTTGGCTAAAACAAAACTAGGTTTGTGTATTCTCATAGCTGCCCAGTGTAGGGTTTCTGAGGCTGTAAGACTTTATGGGAGTAGAAAGCCTCATCTTTCTCCCACCTAGTGCTTGGTGGACTTGAACTGCTGACCTTGTGGTTAACAGTCCAATGTTTATTCTACAGAACCATCACACTCCATTATAATATTACTGACTATATAAATTGTATTTCTGAATATGGCTGAATTTTCTTAATTGGAAGAGTTAGCTGGGTTTTCCCCCTGGCACCATTATATAGCTTTTGAATAATGTCTTGCCTGCTTGTGATACAGAGTTTGGAGAAGGGCTATCCTAAGTTGTGTTATGAGGTGATGTGGAAGAAGAGTACTTTCTAAATAGCCTGAGGAAGAGTCTAGAAGTAGTTAACTTTTCCTGAAAGCTGGGAAGCCTGAGAATGTGACTAGGCTCAACATTTCATTAAACTGAACTCATTTGTTGGGTGTCCTCACAGGAGTTATAAAATTTATCACTAAGCAAGTCCCAGAACAATTCTGACATTTGGGGTTCTAGTTTAGTATATATTGACTTGAATTTAATTACTTACATATTAAATTTGACTTATCTATAAAGAGAGTGATATTTGTTCACCCAGACATGGTCTTCTTTATGCATCCGTGTGAATGGCATCACTAACCTACTATTCACCAAGGTTCCAGACAAAACACCTTCCCCCAACGAAATCTAATGAGAAGGAGCCCTGCTGGTACAGTGGGTTAAGTGTTGGACTGCTAATTGCAAGGTTGGTGGTTCAAGTCCATCAGCCTCTCCATGGGATAAAGTTGAGACTTTCTGCTCCTGTGAAGATTTACTGTCTCAGAAACCTTAAGGAACAGTTCTACTCTGTCCTTTAAGGTCTAATCGACTCAATGGCAATGGGTAGGTGGTGGTGGAATCTAGTGACTATTTGCATTCCATTGTGGATGCTATTGGTGGGTCACATCTCTTCTTTCCTTTCTGGGATCATTTCCTTTCCCCTGGTTCAGGCCTCACTTCCTTGTCTGCGGAGACTATTAAAACAGCCCTCTAATTGAGCCCAGGGCCTTTCCCCATTGGACTGTGTTTCACACAACTGAGTGATCTTAAAACAGAGATCTCTTGTTCTTGGCCCCAAGCTGGCTGTAGCTCTCTCATTGCCCTGCTGAAGTGAGAATAAACTCCTGGGTCTTGGCGTTCATAGCTGTGGATGAGCTCTAGCCTCGTCTCTTGTGTCTTCACTCTATGCACTTGGTGTTCCCTACCTGTTGAGCTGCTTGCTTACTGTTCCTTGAATGTCTCCATGCGCTGGCTGAGCTTCCTTTCCCCCAGAATCCCATCTCCTTCCACCTTTCCCCTCTCCCGCTTCATGTATTCAAATCCTTCACAGATCAGATTTCACTCTGTTTCATGTGCTGCAATTTATACTTTCTGTCTTTCTTACATTAAAGCTGTATCAGTGCAAACCTCAGTTTCCTTATTAGATTGTAAGTTTCTTGTGGATGGAATGTGACAGATGGGAAAATATATACCTTTTTTATTGGGGGATAGAAAGGCTTGACATCACAAAACTGCCATTTTGCCCTAAATTAATAAATTTAGTACAATTTATTTAAGTCCCCAAAGAGTTTTTTTTTTTTTTTTTTTTAAAGCATAAAAGTATTATTATGGCAAAGGGTGAGGGGAAATCCAAACCAACACTAAACCAAAAGGCTAGAAACAAAGGGAGTACACATTAATAGTGGGAAAGTTTGAATGATTTGTAGTATACTTACTACATACATACCATGGAGTGTAATGTGGTCATTTAAAACCTGAATTTGAGCTATGTGTGTGTGTGTATGTATATATATATACATACACACACACACACACACATACATATAAGGAGCTCTGGTAGCTTAGTGGTTATGAATCAGGCTGCGAACCTTAAGGTCAGCAGTTGGAAACTACCAGCTGTTCTGTGGGAGAAAGATGAGGCTTTCTGCTCCCGTAAAGATTTACAGCCTTGGAAACTCTGTACAGGGTCTCTATGAGTCGGTTTCGACTCCAAGGCACATAACCACCCTATATATATATATATATATATATAATATATACACACACACACACACACAGCCTTTGTCTGCAATGCAATGTTTTGAAGGCAAGATGTAGAAGAGTATTTATAATATGACCTCGACCCTCTTTAAAGACAAAACAAACACTAACATAATTCCGTCTCCCTATATGATACAGGGTCACTATGACTCAATGACACTTCACAACAACAACAATATAATATAAGGAGCTCTGGTAGCCTATTGGTTGTGAATCAGGCTGCCAACCTCAGAGTCAGCAGCTCTAAACTACCAGCTGTTCTGCAGGAGAAAGATGAGGCTTTCTGCTCCCGTAAAGATTTACAGCCTCAGAAACCCTGTACAGGATCACTATGAGTTGGAACCGACTTTATGGCACGTAACAACAACATATAATATAAAAGGACTTCAAACAGTTCAGCCCTTCAGATATATGGATGTTTGCATTATATAAGCAAAGATGATTTGCTATGAAGCAAATGAAATGTATAGTTAGAGACCCATTTGCACAGGCTGCTTTTAAGGACACAAATTTGTGTTCATATTTTGTATTTTTCATGTGGGCCCTCATAGTAGATAAATCCCAGATTTCTCCAAACTTGTATCTCTGTCCCATGTTAATGAACATGGAAAAAACTATGATCATTGATACAGTTTATAACAAAACACTAACATCATTTTATATAAAAGAGATTAGTTGGGGTCGAGAGTCAGAGAGAGTGAGGACAAATACAATAAGAAAACCAATTGGTGGATGTTTTTACTTTTCCTTTAATTTGCTAGTTTATTTTAAGTTTTTATGGTAATATTGAGGGTTAAGGAGTCTGGTAGTACAAGTGGTTCATTCAAGTGTTCAACAACTGGAAGGTTGGTGGTTTAAATCCAGCAGCCACTTTGTGAGAGAAACATGTGGCAGTTTGCTTTTGTCAAGATTACAGTCTTGGAAACCCTATGGACAGTTTACCTCTGCCCTATAGATTCACTGTGATGAGTTGGAATTGACTCTATGGCAGTAGGTTTGGTTTGCTTTGAGGGTTAGTTTAAAAAGCTATTGAGGAACTTAACAAACACAGCACAATGTTATTCTTGTAAATCAACGAACCAACTAAGTAAACAAAAATCTGGTAAGAATGTGATTATACCTCCTCCTGGAAATAACAAAAATAACAACCCAGGTAAGTGAAGGAGAACAGGCAGATAGATGGTGAACATTTGAAAAGTTTTCTGCCTAATTGTTTCCTTTTTGAGAATGGTGTATCCATTCTATCATTGTGGTTGTTAAGTACCATTGAGTAGGTTATGACTTATAGTGACCCTGTTTGGGGCTTCCAAGGAGTGGCTAGTGTGTTTGAACCATTGATCAGGTAGTTAGCAGTCCAGTGCTTATCATACAGCACCACACCATTCTTTCATGGTGGTGGTGGTTGTGTGCTGTGAAGTTAGCTCTGACTCATGTGCAACTCTGTATAAGGTTTCCAAAGCTGTAAATCTTTATGGGAGCAGAAAGCTTCATCTTTCTCCCGTGGAGCAGCTGGTAGATTTGAATTGCTGACATTGTAGTTAGCAGCTCCACTCACACCCCACAATACTACCAAGGCTCTTTATTTATCGTTGTTGTTAAGTGCCGTCAACAACATAGTGACCCTGTATAGGATTTCTGAGGTTCCGAATCATAGCAACCCCGTATAGGATTTCTGAGGTGGAACTGGCGAGTTTGAACTGCTGACCTTGAGGTCCAGTGCATTAACCCACTGCGCCATACCAATACTCCAAGATACAGCCTCAGAAACCTTACAAGGACAGTTCTACTCTGTTTTACATGGTCACTCAGAGTCAGAATCCACTCACTGGCAGTAGGTCTAGTTTTGGTTTGAGTTGCTCTTGTTGTTAAGTGCCGTTGAGTCCAGTGCTTATCCTACAGTGCCACACCAGGACTATTAAAAAACAGTACAAAGAGACAGGTGAAATTAGTTTCGTAATGTATTCTATTATAATCCAGTAATCTAAAATATTATTTCAACTTATAATTATTATAAAAATTATTTGTGAGAGAACTTATCCTTTCTTTTTAAACTACGCTTTTGAAATCCAGTGTGTATTTTACACTAGGCCTTATCTCAGTTTGGACCAGCCACATTTCAAGTGCTTAGTAGCCATGTGTTATTAGAGTACAGGTTCTGCAAGGGCAGTCTTGACCATGCACACACACTATCAAAGTCCAGCAAGATGAAATGAAACCTAGAATAAGCAGAGCGGGTTTTAGCTCTTTGTAGCTGGTGATTTAAGTGGTTGCATGAGAGTTAATTTCACAACTGTCATGTTTAAATTTCTTGGGGTAAGATATTCCAGGATTTTGCTTTATACGTTTCTGAATTGTAAAGGCTCCTGGTATTAATTTTTGATAAGCAGCAACAGGGTTTGACTTCCAGCTTGCAAAAATATCTTAGAAAATGTGGTCTCCCTAGGTCTTTTGCAGTAACGTTGTTGTTAAGTGCTGTTTAGTTGGTTCCGACTCATAGTGACCCTGTGTCTTATGAGCAGGTAGTGGGTTTGAACCACCGACCTTATGGTTCAAACCAACCTTGCAGTCCAAT